GATTGGTCTCGGCCACTACTGTCCTGTGCAAACTGAACTGAACTGAACTGACCTGACCTGGACTGGACTGGACTGGACTTTCAAGGTCACGTAGCGTAGAATCTGCTACTAGGACGCGTCTTCCATATGGACGTTCGTGATGTACTTTCTTTTGCCGTAAGATCATCCTTTCCTTCATAATTTAGCTCTTTAGTCTCCCAGCCCGCAGCTGCGTCGCTCTTTGAAACCACCACCTCCCCCTTCGTTAAATGATGTAGCTTCAAACGAACCAGACATAAAGCGTCCTCGTACAAATGCCGAAATTCCTTCACCAGCTTCAGTTTTATCATCAGAGATTCCTCAGTTTAGTGGAGATTCCTTGGGTATGTCTCGGAAAATGGCGAACGTTATTTATTTTTTGTTCCATACCATGAATGTTTTCGGCTGACGAATGAGCATATATGCTGCAGCAGCTTATAGTGTAATTAAACGTTCCACTTGTGTAACATACTAATGTGATCTAATTTAATAAGGAATCGTTTGCATAGTTTTTCTAGTAACGCTGAGTGGTTCGATACAGATGCATTCTTATATACGGTTGCATCTGCAACGACATCTTTGGACATGAATCAGAATAGGTAGAATAATCAGCCATTATTTGATATTTATCATATATGGAACAAGAAATGCAACATAATATCTCTATGTAGTGTGACAATACTTTTTTGAGCGGTAAGATTACTAAGTAAAACCTGTCCATGGTTATTTGTTTAACTCTTGAGACATAATCAACTGACTCGGCGCAGATATATTCTTATAAATATATGGTGAAATTTGTATTGATTTGTACAGTTCGTCCCCAGGTTGATCCAACCAATTAGAAAATCCTCACCATTAAATTTGCTCGCTTTGTCTCAGACACTTAGATAAATCTAGGTTTTACTTAAAATATCTGTATAGTTCGCCAGCCGGTTGCTGGTCCATCTCAGACTGAGATTGATGAAGAAGAAGATGGTCTTCCGACCACTGTTGGAGCAAGCGAAGTGAATGAATCCACCATTCGTCGTCTGGCCCTTCTACTCGAAAAGCGTGCCTTGGCTAACCAAGAAGCTCGAACAAAGTTTCCAGATCAACCAAAGCGCTTTATGCAGTCGGAAGTGGACCTCCAGGAAACCTTAGAGGAAATGCAAGTAAGTGCGGCATTTCTATTTCGGCTCGGCTTTGTCTTTCCATCGTCTCATTTTCCAATTAATTACTCAAAATTCAAACAGAAATTGGCCTTGTTTTTTTTATCAAGTCAGTGTTTTGTTCCCATCCTTGAATCAAATAATACGTAAAATGCAATGACCAAAAGGAAACAATCACCCTAATGCTTATATTTGCGATATTTAACCGTGTTGCCTAAATAATCCAGTCATATGCTTGCTAAACTCAAACAGACCCAAATGGCCTCTGTGCCCTTTCACAGGATGGCTCATCACAGCCCCGGATTCAGTCCTGCTTGAAAGGCTAGTGGGTATAGACCAAAAAAAGCTCAGTCTCATAAGACCAGCTGCTTGAGCACATGGCTTCCTTTGACTACCCTCTCCCTCATGGAGTGATCACTCTAACAAACAAACAGGAACAAGAGCAGTCTACCGTTAGGTGGACGCAAGAGCGCAGTGCTCGTTGCTTCCTCTTGCCGGCGAGGGAAGTCTTCGCGTTTCATTGAACGGCTGTCGCCCACCCAAGTTGGGCAGCCTCAGCTAATGAGGTGCTGTCATGTTTACATTTCGCTTGTCTCATTAGGTGCATGAGGCTGAGGGCCGATACCTAACGCCTGNAACCCCCCCCCCCAAAAAAAAAAACTGAAAGACCTTACAAGCTGTCTTAGCTAGGACCATTGAAACTTTTCATTTAGATGTATGCTGTGTCTCCGAAAGACGCATACAAGACACTACTTCAATCATCTTGCGTTCTCCATATTCAACCTCATCCTCACGCTTCACTCTCCGTGTGTCAGGCGATTCGACATTCAAAGCTCGCGGTGTTGCTGGTGTTGGGATTGCGCTGAGTGTCAAGGCCGAACGTTCACTTCTCGATTGGGTCCCGGTTAGTAGCTGACTGCGCTGTGCGTCTGAATGGTTCAGTACGAGTCAACAGCTACGGAACAAAGCGTCGATGCTTATTCGTCGTATCCGCGTTTGCACCGACTGATTGCAGTTCGCCAGAAATGAAGGGTGAATTCTACAGGAACCTCCCTCAACTGCTCCAAAGTGCTCGGTCAACGGACATCGTGGTGGTCGCTGGCAACTTCAATGTTCAAGTGGGATCCTTGGAGGAATCGGAGAGGCTACTTGGAGGTACACATGCAATCCCAGCCAACAGGACCGACAACGGATAACGCCTACTCCAACTTTGTGCTGACCACAGACTGTTTCTGCCAAGCACATTTTTTTTATACAAAGCTCAAATCCGCCCGATGCTTGAATACTGCAGTCACGTATGGGGTGGATCTTCGTAATCTGCTCTTTTTCTCCTCGACCCTGTTCAACGTAAAGCCATCCGGCTGATAGACGAACCGTCTTTAACTTCCACCTTGCAGTCGATTTCCCACCGCCGAGCAGTGGCTTCGCTATCTCTTTTCTATCGTTGCTATTTTGGTTTCTGCTCTTCCGAACTCACTTCAGCGGTTCCCCTTCCATTGAGCTTATCTCGTTCGTCTCGTTCTCAGGCGACCAGTCAGCCTTATCAGGTTTCTGTCCCCAGGTGTCGGACTTCTATCTTTCAATCTTCTTTTTTTCCCCGAGGACTGCGAAATTGTGGAACATTCTTCCCATTTCTGTGTTTCCCAGCTGTTATAACCTTACACTTTTCAAAACAAATTGGTTCTTATTTAAATGTTCCCCCACATACCTCCCCCTTACAATATATTATGGGGTTATGGGGTTTACCCCTTTCACTGTAAATCACTTCATGTGTAATAAAAAAGCGCGAACTTATCGCTCAAAAAACGCCACCGTCTTACACGGAGACCGCCAACGACTTTACAGTGCTGGAATCAAATCGATGACACTGC